TAGATAGATAGATAGATAGATAGATAGATAGATAGATAGATAGATAGATAATAGATAGATCACCATTTGGTTTTTTAAAAGGCATAACAATCCATATGGATTTTTTTCTACAAACTGCAATCATGAACTGTATATGTATTTTTCCCAAAAATACATCGTTTGCATTCATTTTCCAATAGAGTATACACACATTTTCTAAGCAAATAATCATAAAACTCAAAGAGATGCAGATTCATTTTTAAAAAATGGAATCTAACCACGTATTAATTTATTAATGAAATTATGTTAAGATACCTAAAAGAAAAAGGCAATGACATAATTTTCAGTACTGCCTGCACAGTATTGTCCAAATAATGCATCCAAGGACAAAGAATTCTTGCTCTCCTTTGAACTACCACTCTTTCTTGATCTGCAAATTCATTTAAGATACAGCCAATGGCCCAGCTTCCTCTAATTACGAAGTGTTAATAGCAGGGATTGCATAGAATATTACAAATTAACAGAAAGACCCTGTTAATTGATTACTCATTTACCAAGACATGGCTAGATAGATGAGTGAATAAAATATAAATTATTGTGCCTAATAATATCAGTGGCCATAAATAAGCAGAAAAAAAGCCTTCTTCCAAGCCATCCTGTTCTGTGTTCTGAAGAGAAGAAAAATATGAAAGACCATAATAACAAATGCAAAAACCAAGATTAGGTTGAACGACGTCATTTCATCATTTCTCCATCCTGATCCAAAATTTAGCCATTGTTATAAAATTCAGTTGGTTTTACAGAGAGAGCTACTCCTTTGTCTGTCACGGAAATCATAATATATGTTGGAATTGCATGCAGAAATCAAACACTGATCTAAACACTAAACCTCTGTTATACAGGTAGTCCTCAGCTTATGATCGCTTGCTTAGCAACCAAAGTTACAATGGCCCCAAGAAAGAGAATTTATAACCTGGAATTGAAATTTCAATGGTTGGGTCCCCTCTGCACTTACATAATCAAATTTTGGGCTCTCAGCCAACATGACTACGTTTACGGCTGTTTGCAGCATCCTGTAATCACGTGACAGCTTTTGACCACCGTTTTGCCCCAATTTGGCACTTATATCCAGTGTCAGGTCCACCATCATGCTCTATTGTGTTGTAGGAAGTTAGCAAAAATCCCTCTCCTAGAAAAATAAAATATCCTAGGAAATATTAAAAAGGCAGAACATTTCCCTTAAAAAGAGTCGAAACCAGAGGTGGTATTCAGCAGGTTCTGATCAGTTCTGGAGAACTGGTAGTGGAAAATTTGAGTAGTTCGGAGAACCGACAAATACCCCCTCTGACTGGCCCTGCCCCCATCTATTCTCTGCCTCCCGAGTCCCAGCTGATCGGCTGGGTCTTCTTTTGTTGCCCTGCCCAGGAGAACGGAGCTGGAAAGCAGGTTATTGGGGTGGGGAGGGAGGATTTTGCAGTAATCTTCCCCCTGGAGTGAGGAGGGAATGGGGTTTTTTCAATATTCTTCCTCTGCCATGCCCACCAAGCCACACCCACCAAGCCACACCCACCAAGCCACACCCACCAAGCCACGCCCACATAACCTGTAGTAAAAATATTTGAATTCCACCACTGGTAGAAACTAGAAGCAGAAACTCACCTCAGAAGCAGAAGTTCACCCCCACCTTTGTTAACAGGTAGGCCATTAAGGCCTACATAACAAAGATCTCCAGGTCGAGCTATAATAGGAATTACCCAAAGCCCTTTCATTACATCATCATCCAGCAAGGCTCAACCAAGCCTGGCACTCAGGACAGCCTACAGAGTTTATTTATTTATTTATTTTATTTATTTGATTTGCCAATTGTTTACAAGATAATAAGTATAAGTGTATACATAGTTGTGAATACATGAAATGGGTACATATAAGAAAAATAAAAGAATAATAAGAGAAACAATAGGACAGGGACGGTAGGCACGTTGGTGCGCTT